CCCCCTGCCTGCCCCCCCCCCCCGGGCCCCCCCCCTGCCATTCCAGGATCCTTCCCTGTGCCCTCCAGCCTGGGCACCCCGCCACCCCTCCCCATGCCCTCCAGCCTGGGCAACCCCCTGGCAACCTGGGATTCTTCCCCGTACCCTCCAGCCCAGGCACTGCCCTGGTACCCCAGGACCCCCTGCCCGTGCCCTCCAGCCCGGGCACCCCCCACCCCCGGGTCACCCTCCCCATGCCCTCCAGCCTGGGCACCCCCTGCCATCCCAGGATCCTTCCCCGTGCCCTCCAGCCCGGGCACCCCTATATCACCCTGGGACACCTCTCCATGCCCTCCAGCCCGAGCTCCCCCCTGGCAACCCGGGATCCTTCCCCATGACCTCCAGCCCAGGCACCCTCCTGCCACCCTGGGACCCCCTGCCTGTGCCCTCCAGCCTGGGCACTGCCCACCCTGGGACCCCTCCCCGTGCCCTGCAGCCCGGGCACCCTCTGCCCCTGGGACTCCCTGCCCATGCCCTGCAGCCCAAGCACCCCCCCGCCACCCTGGGACCTCCTGCCTGTGCCCTCCAGCCCGGGCACCCCCCTGCCACCCCGGGATCCCTCCCCATGCCCTCCAGCCCAGGCACCCTCTTTGCCCTGGGCCAGGAGCCCCATCCTGGGGCCCCCCGAGCACTGGGCTGGGACCTCCGTCAGCCTGGTTAGGGACCCCTGCCTCAGTTTCCGCAGGGGGGCACAGGGAGGCTGCCCAGTCTCCCTGGCTGTGGGGGGCACCGGGCACCCGTGGGAAACCGAACCCCTTGTTTTCTTCTGGAACAAAGAGGCTTCAGGGAGCCATAAAGCCCCAGTCAGGCCGGCTTGGCGGGTGGACAGGGGGGCGGCATGCCAGCCCCGTCCTGGCCCAGGGGCAGCTGCTGGTCATGGCCATGGGGCTGGCAGAGACCTGCAGGGTCACATCCAGCCCTCGTCTCTTCTGCTGAGCCGGGTGCTAGGGGCTGGATGCTGGAGGCAGGGGCCGGAGCCGCCTCGCAGATCCTGCTGCTCCCCGTGGGCCCTGTCCTAGGAGCAAGACAAGGGAAGACTCATGCCCTGCACCCCCCCGACTGCCCAGGCCCAGGCAAGGCCTGGCGCGGTGGCCCAGCCGGCTCCGCTGAGGCCGCAAAACTGGTTCCTGTGTCTCTGGATGTGTTTTTTCCCTGGCACTAGAATTGCAGCTGGAGCCGGGGGTAGGGGAGGCACCGGCCAGGCAAGGCAGGTCTGCAGGAATCTGAGCCGTGGGGCTGGGCACGGCCGCATGTAGGGGTTGAGCTCCTGGCCCCGTCTCCCTCCACGATGGGTGGAGCCGAACCTGTCTGGGCTTCACGCCTGCGCCTGGGTCTCCTTGGCAGCCTGAGCCTGCGACGCCTGGCACCCTGGAGCGCCCGCCCTGCCCTGCGCCATCGGTCCGGTGCAGCCGGTCCGTATCAGTCCCTCTGCCTTGCAGCTGATCTCCAAGCAGGCGTATGGGCCCCTGTGGAAGTCGTCCCTGGGGCCTTACACCAACATCAACGTGGCCTGCCCCGAGCTGCTGGAGCAAGTGCTGCGGCAGGAGGGCAAGTACCCGGTGAGGAGCGATATGGCGCTGTGGAAGGAGCACCGCGACGCCCGGGGCCTGCCCTACGGCCCCTTCACTGAGTGAGTCCGGCACGTGGCGGCCTGGCCCGGCCCTGGCTGCCTGGCTCCAGGCTTGGGGAACCGGGACGGGGCCCCCAACTTCTCTCAGGGAGTCTGGCTCCTGCTTCTCCCTGCGGGCACGGGCAGTACCAGGTCCTGAACCAGGGGGATGGTGGATGCAGGGTGCCCAGGCCTTGTCTACGCTATGGCCCTGGGCACGGTGATAAACCCCACTGCTGCAGACGCAGTGCACATCACCTGCAGCGGAGCCCCGTCTACACTAGGGCTCATCTCAGTCCAGGCGCGGGGGGCTGCCGTGGGTGCAGCTCAGTCTGATGCTCGTGCCCCGTGCAGGGATGGGGAGCGCTGGCACCGGCTGCGCCCGGGGCCGAGGGAGGCCGTGCTCTACACCGGGACTATCAACGCCGTGACGTCCGACCTGCTGGGGCGGCTGGAGGCCGAGCGGCGCGGCAGCCCTTCAGGCCGGGGCGTGGGCGACGTGGCCAGCCTGCTCTACCGCTTCGCCTTGGAGGGTGGGTGCGGGGCCAGGGCGGGGGCCGGGGGGCCCTGCTGGCCATCAGCCCCGTGGCCCTGCCCGTCCCAGCCCCTCCCTTCTCCCCCCAGGCATCGCCAGCATCCTGTTCGAGACCCGCATCGGGTGCCTGGAGCCGCAGGTGCCGCCCGAGACCCAGCGCTTCATCGCCGCCATCGGCTGCATGTTCCGCGACTCCGTCTTCGTCACGGCCCTGCCCGCCTGGACCCGGGCGCTGCTGCCCTTCTGGGACCGCTACCTGCGCAGCTGGGACACCATCTTCGCCTTCGGTCCGTGCCAGCGCGGGGGAGGCTGGGCCGTAGGTCCAGAGGCAAAGGGAGCGGCGGGGTCGCATCCAGCCCGAGGCAGGATCAGCCCCATCTAAGCCCAGGCCCAGGCTGTGGGCCCGCTGCAGGGGGAGGGGAAACCCCCCAGGCCGGGGGTGGGGGCTGGGGGACTCCTGGGATCTGGCTGTGCCTGGGGGGGTCCTGGCTGGACGGGACCGGTGCGAGTAGGGCAGGGGGGGTTGCTGCCAGCTGGGCCCTGCCTG